TGTGTGTGTGTGTGTGTGTGTATCTTTTTTAAAATAAAGTATACATTTTTCTATTTTCAAAGACAGCATTTACAATAATATGAAAATGGCAACTCAAAAATCACACTAAAACTATTCTGAAATACAAGAACAGCAGAAGCAACAATAACAAGAAACAGAACAATAACATAGCATTCCATCCATTGCCCAGATTTTTTTTTTTTAATTTAAAAGTTTAATCTAGTACCTGAAACTAATGAGACTGCCAGTAAGGAATCCTGGGTAAAGGGAGAACCAGGAAAGCATCTCCAAGAAAGATTTTTTTTTCTCCTTTATGGCTATAAAACCACCAGGAAATCACTTTAGAGTTCCACTTTATATTCCGTGTGCTTTTGCTAGTGTTACAATTAATTGGTGCTACAGTTCATAATTCTTGCTAGAATTACAGTTCCCCAAAAAACTGGGTTGGAATCCAAGCACACCTGGAGGGTCCACATTGGAGAAGACTAATTATTTTAGAGGAACGTTTTCATGCATATTGAGCCCCCAGTGCTAAATTGGTAAAAATCTGCTTTGAGGTGAGCAAAACTGTTGACTTCATGGACATGTCCATGCCATTTTTGTGGCAACAGTATAGAAGTGGTTTGCCCTGCAGCTTCTGGCTTGTTTTTCAGTTTCCCAATCAAGGCTCCAATCTTTGCATCCCTTAATGGGTTCCCATGCAGATCTTAACCAAGGCCATTCCTACTTTTGCTCTGGTTAGATTCAACGCACTCCCTTCAGCAGTTATTGATGGTAAATATTTTAAAAAATCCCTTCCACAAACAACTTTGCCCCTGTGACTATGTCTTTCTTTTAAGTGTGGTGCCCATAAGTGGACACAGTGCTTGGGGGTCTAACCCAGTTAGCATGCTGGGTTGGGAATTCTGGGAGTTGAAGTCCAAACATCTTAAAAGTTGCCAAGTTTGAAAAACACTAGTCTAACCAATGTGGAATGTAACAAACCAATATTTCCTTTTGACTCAGCCTAAACCTGCATATCTTTTTAGCATACCTCTGACTCAAATGATGCCCTCTGCTTTTTTGCTTACAGGGATGATAACAATGGATGAAATCTTTTCCCGATTAAAGCAGCTGACGCCTGATGAGCTGAGAGAAGAAATTGTCAAAGCTGGCTTGAAATGTGGGCCCATTACTCTAACCACCAGATCGATTTTTGAAAAAAGACTGGCCCAGTCTTTATTGGAACAGCAAGGAGCATGCGAGGCAACGACTCCCATTTCAAATGGCGTTCCTGGAAGTGCTGCAGCTGATGGTGGCCAGCCAGAAGTCAAAAAAACAAATGGTCACCTAGGCTCTCCTGAGGATGGGGATTTTGGATACAGCATGGGTCTGAACCCTCCTGAGGAAGAAGCCCTGATGCATGAAGCTAATGGCTCTCCCGTTCGTTCTCAGACTCCCTCCAAAATGCCTCTGATATACTACGGTGTGTGCCCAGTGTATGATGACATATTGGCCAGAAATGGTAAGAGTTTCTTTTTATGAAGGTGTTTTAAATATAGTAGTCCCTTCGGTGTCTTCTTCATTTGCAGCCTCTTTGTACTGTAAAGAAGTCTTCTTTCCTGATGCTTTGACAGTAACTCCAGTTCTCCCTGGAACTGATGGATCTTGCAGTCCCAGCAATATCCAGAGTTCTCCAGCATGGCTGCTGTAGAGCGAGAACAGACAAGGGAGCTGCTTTAGAGTCTGAGACTCCTTCAGGGAAGACATATACCAATTGTGCTTAATACATTGCTTTCTTCTGGCCAGCAAATAAAGAATTCAGCAAAGGGACTCAATCTTATTGATTACCTGCATTTAATGTGCACGTGGTGCCAGGATGGTAGAATTACTTGAGAATAAATGCTCGTTGAAGTAGACCTTTTAGTGTGATAACAATAAATACTCAGCATAAAAATAGCAGTCCTGCTTTTTCAAGGATCAATACTTTTTTTCAGGGGTGTAATACCTGAAGCTTAACATTACTTGTGCTAGAAAATAAAATGGATTATTGTTTTGAATTGGTTTGATGGCCCACTTTTTTTCTGCTTTGTGCAAAATTGGAATGTTTGAAGTCCAAAAATGCTGGGGGGGGGGATTTTCTTTTTACCAAAGGAGACCACCTGGATAAATTCATGATGATTTAGTATAGCTATGAGAGGAAGGAGATGAGTCTGCATAAATCTTGAGCTTGCAAGCTTCCTCCTTTCCCATCCGTCCCCTTGCTTGCTTCTGGAATCATAAACGTTTGTTTCCAGTGTTAGAAGGACCCCAGTTGCTGTTATATCCAAAACTGGCAATCTCTAGTTTGCTGAATTCAGGGATAGCCTGTGGGCTAAATCCATCTTGCCAGATTTTTCCAGCGACTGGTGCCTTTTTTAAAGGTGGATTTTCTCTCCCTCCAACTCATAGCTCTACCCATGTGACCTTAATTGGCCAGTGTGGATATATGGATCTCAGGCTGAATTCCCACTTCTGGACTAAAGATTGGATTGTTCCAACTAGATAAGATCAAACTGTTAATCATGACTTGTTCTGAACCATATTATCTCGAGCAGAGATGTAAGAGATAACAAGGCCCCAGAAGATGAAGCAAATTCTTCCAGGCTTCTTACAAGTGCCAGAGAACATGAAAACATATAAATCTGAGATTCTCATAATGGGCAATCACTTTTTTTTTTTTTTGCTGTCACTGTCTTGGGCCCCTGGTTTCAAACAGAATAAGTTATTTTACAAAGGTTGTTTAGTTCCTCAGGAAACAAAGTTGACTTGCTGATGAAAAGACAACTCACCGTTGCATCATAGTGTTAGTAGGATGATTTTAACTCAGTTTAAGCTCTTGTTTTCAATATTAATGGTGTGCCCTGCAGCTTTAATGTAATTGTCTTTTTGCAATTTTCACTAGAATTGATCATTTATGTGGAAGGCCTGGAAAAAATTGCAAATTAGACGTTATGTGGAGTATTGTAGTTAGTCTCTGAAAGTAAAATTCACCAGACCAGATGAGTATTCTCTGCTGTAAATAACCACAACATTAAGTAGCTCAACAGAATTTGCAATTAAAAGTAGAGGAACAGATTTGTTGACTTAGTGTTGCCTTCTCTTGTTTTCATCAGAAACGAATTTATTTCAATGCTTTTCTTTTCCAGAAAGGGTACATGTGTATGAGGATAAAAAGGAAGCTTTGCAAGCTGTTAAGATGATTAAAGGGTCACGGTTTAAAGCTTTCTCAAATAGGGAAGATGCAGAGAAATTTGCCAAAGGCATATGTGATTATTTTCCTTCTCCAAACAAGTCCTCCATATCTCTGTCTCCTGTGAAAGTCTGTTCAGTCTTCAATAGAGGTAAGTAGAAGGCTTAAATGTGTTTCACGCTTCCTAAATGGCTTTTAGGGTTAAATGACTTTAGGCTAGTTTAAACATCTACTATTATTACGGAGAACGGTGGGTTGTGCTTTTAAAATGAACTTGCAACCTTATAAAGAGGAGCAGCCTGAGAATCTCAAGAGAAGCGAATAGATCTGAAGGCTCTGGCTGCTGCTTAACTAGGACGGTGGGGAAGGGAAGGATGCGGAAAGTTACAGTTTAATCCTATTATGGAGTAACATGCTTACGCCTGCCTTAAGGTCTTTAAAATTAACCCTGTGGGTTCTGCATCTCAATGAATTGCCCAAATGCTAACGTATGCACATCTTCAGACCTTTGTACGTATAGGTAAGTTTGCATTTTGCAAAAGCCGATGCACGTTTTTGAGTATGTATTGCATCATGAGTGTACAATGCTGTTTGTGCCTTAACAGATGGGTTGTGCTCTCCTGAGCTGGAAGCAGTCAGTAAAGAAAGAGCCAACAGTTACAAAAGCCCTCGTACCCAGGATCTGACCGCAAAACTCCGGAAAGCCGTTGAGAAAGGAGATGAAAGCACCTTCTTAGAACTCATCTGGAGTAATCCTCGCTATCTCATTGGCTCTGGAGACAATCCGACTATTGTGCAGGTAAAAAAAAAAAAGTTCCCTGGCCATTGCCAGCTGCAGGACAAGCAGACCCTTTGTTCCTCCCCGCCCCCCCCAGACATGATTACTAAAGAAAATGTGTCGCTGGCTTTGGCCAGTCTTGGCATCAGGGCAATTCGGTGTAACATCTGGTTTCTCTATAAGCTAATTTTGAGGCTGATGGCAGAGTGTGGAAAACAACCACGGAAAAAGGAAGTGACTTTATGCTGTTCCAGCAAGTCCTTAACTTACAGTCGTATGCGCCAAAGTGTTTTGTGTTTTTTTTTTAACTTCAGTGGTCTCCTCAATTAAACACAAGCCAGTTTCTTAGAATGTTTTTTGACAGGCCTAACCATGTTGGGAGCAGACTACAACCTCTCTGCCTCCCTCTCTCACACACATTCCAGCTGCTTTTCCTTTTCAAAACTTATGCATGGAGAAGATGGTGCTCAACCTAAATGGCTCCTTCCAGTTCTATGATTCTGAGATTGTCACAACATGACATTGTGTTAAGTGCCAATACTGTACTGCTACGTAGCTTGTTCTGAAATAATATCTTGTGACTTTCAAGTGACATCTCCTTTTCTTAATGAGGGTTAGCATTCACCTTGGAGCAGGTGCTGAAGAAAAAGGGGCTGGTGCTGGAAGGAGGGCTTGAACCTTTGGGGGCTATTTCAGACCACTTAACGGGGCTGAGAAATGTTGGATCCACATCGGGTGTGAAAATAACTTTTTATGTGAATTGTGGTTTTGCTGCAGGATACAAAAGAGCATGAACTTTCACATCAGCGGCTGCTTCTTTAGAAAGAGAGCGAGGAGGCAGGAATTTTCAGATGGGTGGAAGAAGGATGGGTATTACTTACAAGATACTTGATTATATGATTGCTGGAATATTGCCCCAAACAGTGACACCCCTGTCTGAGAATTATAATATAGCTGAAGCTTCATTTCATTGTGAAGAAGTGCGTAGGGAAGCAGTTCATTAAGAAGAGACTGTACAGAGGAACTGTTACAGTCTCTTCTTTCTATAACTAGGCATGCTTTTAATGTGCATTTTAATCTCTTTTTTGCAGCAAGGCTGTTCCATTGTCAGATGAGAAGGGGGGGGGAATCACAAATGGTGAAGATGTCTGTTCTTTTTCTAGGAGGGCTGTAGGTACAACGTCATGCACGTTGCAGCCAAAGAGAATCAACCTGGCATCTGCCGGTTGCTGTTGGATACTCTGGAAAATCCCGAATTTATGCGGCTGATGTATCCTGATGATGACGCAATCATGTTGCAGAAGCGCATCAGTTACATAGTGGATCTTTATCTGAATACACCAGATAAAATGGTGAGTCTCAGTGCCAAATGCACGCTTTGTTTTTAATGCTGAAATGTTAATAGGAAAACCCGTTCCTTTCAAGGACCATCTCAGATGCATTCGAAGGTGCTTTCGTATACATCTCCTCTCAGAACTAAGGTCCCTTAAGTTTAGTGGGACTTGCTGCCAGATCAACGAGGACAGGATCCCAGCCCAAATCATTCACACTTGTCCCAGTGAGTCAATGACTGTTCTAAGCACAATTGCTTAGAACAGGCCTGTACAGGATGTTTTGTGGTCAAAACCTTTTAACCTGAAATGTCTCATTCCAAACTTAAGGAAAATTATCTAATATTCACTCGTTATTTGGCTTCCTGCATTCTGGCTCATTCATTTCTGCTGGCTGCAAGAGTTTACATACCCGCAGATCCATTGCTATCCTCCATAAGGTAGAATTTCAGGAGCTAAGGTAGCAGCACGCACATAACACTGTATAATATGGATTATTCGTATGTTTATTTTTGTAGGGATTTGATACACCACTGCATTTCGCTTGCAAGTTTGGGAATCCAGATGTGGTCAGCAATCTTGCTTCCCACCCAGGCATTGTAAAGAACCCAAAAAATAAATATGATCAAACTCCAGCAGACGTAAGTTGCATTTAGAGTGTGTCACCGTTGTCTTGGTTTCATGTTAAATACACTTTATACTTTAGTTCCATTTTAAGTACAAAATATGAGTCCACTATGCTTAACTAACACATCTTTATCTTCTTGCATAACAGGTAATTTGTGAAAGGAGCAAAAATAAATCGGCAGATCTGAAAACAAAAATTAGAGAACACTTGGAAGGTTTGTATTTAATGTTGGCTGTCTGTGGGGCTTCATTCTACAACTTCTGTTTTAGAGTGTCCATAAGCAAATGGCATGTATCACACGGGACAGAAACTAAGACTAAAAGGTTATTTAGCATAGGATTTTTTGACCCATATCACAGCAGCCTTATTTATGCAAATAAATATTTTAAAAATTCTTTTGGGATATTTGAAAACATTCTGTTCAGTCAGGAATAAAGTTGATAAATATTTCATACACCAGCAGCAGGTGATCCCCCATCCACTCTTCTTGCACCCAGATATATTGAAAATGTTGCTTCTTCCTTGGAGGTTCTCTGCCCAAATACGACTTTCAATCCTTTGTGATCCAGGTCAGTGTTACGTGCCCCTCTTCAGAGCGGAAGATAACGCCTCAGCACCCGTGATTGGAGCCCCTTGGTCGTCAGATCAAACAGACAGCAGCCCGCTTGCTTCTTTGCCCAGATGTATTGGCAGCCCCAAAGATCCTATGCTGACAGTGAGGGCTTACGCAGGTCCAGTGAGTCCTTCCAAGGTAAAGGGAGCAAAGAAATCCTTTGCTTCAGCACGTTCTTCCATTTTGGCGGCGTTTGTGAAACGTACTTAATACAAGCATGATTTAATAGGGAGGGGTGTGCTACTGTGGTGGTAATACAGGTAGATAAATCATCCATGCACGCTTCTTATTTTTCACAAAGCAGCAGGCCCAGCTTGCTGTAAAAGTAGAATACTCCCTCCATCTCTCCTCTCCCTTCCCTTTTAACAGGCAGAAGACTTCCGCAGGCTTTGGAAGACTCCACCTCGGGACAGGGCGGAATATTTTTACCATCTCAGAAAATCTGATCTGGAAAGAGGGGTCGAAAGAGTTGGAAGGTATTTCAGACTCGGTGCTCGAAGCCACATGGCAAAAGGCAGGAAATAGTTCTGTTTAAACACCGTTAAACTCTTAACAAGTGTGAGCACCAAATACAATAGGAGGGGTTGCTATTAATAATTATAATTACACACAACAGGCACAATGTTTATATAGGGTGCACCAAAACTCAGGGCGGATAGACAATTTATTATAAAAATTACATTAAATGTTTGAATTGGTTGCCATTTTCTTCTAAATTCTTATTGTTTGACACATGACCATTGAGCATTCCTAAGTACAATAACATTTTCTCTAAAAAAAATTAATAAAATGTATTACGATTGTCCTGTGGGGGTTGACTTTTGGTATACTCTGTATATTCAGCAATTCTGTCTTGAAATGTTCTACTTTGGAAAGAATCTGCTATTTTTTAATTCCATGTCATGTCATACCCATTCCTTTCTGCATTAAGAGTATTTCATATGCTGGATATCTTTTAAAAAGTTATAGAGGAAAAGAAGTGTTTCTTGGGTTAACAGGCCCTAACTGTATTAACTCAAAGAAGTTCCTGGAGGTGGGGGGATTACATGAGCAGAAGCTGTTGGAAACAAAGGAATTAGTATGATGAGTTGCAGATGGCTACAGAAGTAGCCCTGCAAAATGTGGATGCCTTTGAAAATTAGCCGGAAGATTAGTTAATGTTTGGGAAGAGTGTTTACCTGGTGCATTTAGCCACCTAAATGTTATTTTTCTCTTTTCTTCCCTGTCCAGTTACCCCTTTCTTTGTCTTATTTTTCCCCTCCTACTTCTTGTTTTGTTTGGGAAGCGGGGAGAATGTGTCGATCTGTGTTTGTGTGTGCGTGCATGCAAATATGTCAGAATATACTTTCATAGCATCAAGGGGAAGGTGTTGAGAATTGGAGTTGATTCACTGGGAAACTGGAAATTGCACAGGACTTTTTTCTGTTACAATATTTACTTGTTTACCTGATCTTTCATTGTGACTTTTCTTAAATTTGGGGTCATCTTCATTTTGGGTAAATAGGGTAATACTGAGGGGTTTTTTCCTCCCTTGATGTTCTATGATAGTATAAAACAAATTGGCATTCTAGTGTATGAAGGCTAATTAAAGAACAAGAAAGTTGAGTTTGTGATGGCTTTTATACAGTCCTGAGGCTGGTTGTTTTAAAAATGTGTTTCAGTAAATGTGTTGTCAAATTCATATAATACCTTCACAAATGATTCGTTCTATCTTATTTATTACAGGGAGTTAGCTCATGAACTGGGGTTCCCTTGGGTTGAATACTGGGAATTTCTGGGCTGTTTTGTTGATCTGTCTTCCCAGGAGGGGCTAGAACGGCTAGAAGAATACCTGAATCAACAGGAAATGAGCAATAATGCTCAACTCGAAACAGGAGAAAATGAAGCCCACAACAGATACAAACCTCCGCACTCTTCTGGTAAGACTCTTTTTAAAGATTGAAAGCAGAATAATGGCACGGGTGTGGTGGTTTAATGAATTACTTAATCCCCAAAGCAATTCTAGCCAAACATGCTAATGCTTTGAAAAGTTCCAGGAGCAAGCTAGCTGGTTGAGTGTAGAAGTATTGGTGGTGTCTGTGTTATCTCCTGATGTCCGTGTTCAAAATGAATTTTTATTCAATATATACTTTCATTTCGACTCAATAGATCTTTATAATTTTTTTAATCCATAATTGCAAAAAATAAATTCTGATGCTGCTATCAATTCATCCCCAGTTCTGAAAGATTTAGCTTGGGAAGTAAGACAGCTGGCATCTCTTACCTTCTAGACAGACTTCCTTAAAAATGAAGGATACCTGTCAAATAAGAGTTGGTGCCTGTCCTGTAGTCGCAATCTGCCGTAGGGAATGGATGGGAAAGATTAAAGCAGTATTTCTCAACCTTAGCAACTTTGACATATGTGGGCTTCAGCTCCCAGAACTATCCCCCCCCCCTCCTTATGCTGGGGGGGCATTTTGGGGTGTTGACGAACAAATAATCATATTTTTAAGAGTGATATAGAGAAATAGA